AGTATTATTTATTTTATGTGCTTTATAATAAAAAAGTTTTATACAACTTACACATACTTATATAATAATTTATATCAATATATATATTATATACCTATGATTTGTGTTTATGTATTATGGGTGTTAGGGTTCCTCCCCCACTTTTCGTGACACTATTAAGTATTAAAACACCCCCGTAAAATGAATCCTAGATACGCCACTGCTCACAGGGATAAGAACTACAATTATTTCATATGTTATTTTATTTTAATGTTTTGGTAAAAAAGTTAAAAAATATATTTTTTTATTTAATTATTTCAAAAAAAAAAAAAAAAATTAAAGATAGCCAAAATTTTGTTGAGTTTATTTTTCTGAAAATATTGACGTTTCAAAATTTTAATTTCATTAATTTCCTGATTTTAGATTCTGAATGAAGTGATGAATGTATTGTTTTTACAATGATTTGTGTGTTTTTTTTTGTGTCTGTGTACAGCATAACTAGTCGAAATAATGCTTCAATTTCACTTTGGGGGTGGTTTCCGATGTAAAAGTGAATATCCTTGGTGAATTATAGAGGATTTATATTTGGAATGAATTCGGAAAATCCGTGCTTTTCACATGAACAGCTGATTTGGTTTGTTCACGCGTCGTAAAACCTACTAATTCATTTTTATACAAATCAGAAAGAAATTTTAGAGTTTTAACTATCACCAGTAGGTACATAGTTACGGTTTTTTATATACATATATTGTTTATTTTTATTTATTTACTGTCCATAGTTCTGCACATAAATTGTATATGGAATTAAAATGTATTACGTTGTATTAAAATACCAGGAGCTTTCAAAACTTATTTAATTAAAATAAATGTTTTTTTTTAAATTGTTTAAAAACATAAGATTGAATAGAGTGGAGGTGGGAAGTAGGTGACCATTCTGATGTAAATACAGTAAGAGTCATCATCATTGAGTACATCGTCATTGAGTAGGCATTGTAATGAATATTAGAAATTTTAATTTAATGATACATCATTGAATATGATTAAAAACAGTAAATTTTTTTTGAAAACTAAAATCTTGGTCCAAATCTTTAACGGACGTTTCCGGTAGCAAATTGGATCTAGTTGGTACATTGAAATGATAATATAGACAATTTTTAGTCTATTTAAAAAAAAAAAAAATGGGAAAACAATATGAACATAGGTTAAAATGTTTATATTATTATTATTAAAATAATAGTTTGTCAATCATAGGTACCAAAAAGCTAGACCATTTTCGATCAAATACGTTTTTCATCGTTTACTATGATTTATTATTACATTTAAACTCGATATATTCACTGTGTCTACTCCATGACAAGTTAAGTATAGACTCATATTGTATAAGATAGAATAGTTACATAATATTCCCCTTTCACCAGGTTCTTAAAAAAATTAATTAAGTACTGAGAGATATCATTATTTTGATCTTCCAATAGTAACGACTTAATCCGATTTGCTACTTTCAACTACCATTGAGTTTGATAATAAGATTCAGTTGATTCTATACAAGAAAAAAAATTTAAAAAACACAACATTTTTAAATTAATACATTCATTGTTCCACTAAGATTCTAAAATTACYGTTTCAAACATTTAAAAATTTGAATTTGTTTAACCTTGTTGTTGAAACCTTATTATCAATAAAAAAAAATAATGTATTTTGTTATAGATCATTGTTAAATAAAGTCACATATAAATAAATTGTTTAGTCACGGAGATACTTTGGTGATAGGTACCGGCATATTGATACATACAATTAATATCATACTACAATATGCAAGCTTCTATATTTCAAAGAATCTAAATAACCTCTTTTAATGTTTTAAAAACACACTAAATGTATAGACAAAATGAATAATCATTTTTTATTTGATTAATTAAACTTTTAATTTTTAATCCATCCACGTTTATTAAAATTTTCATAACAGCTACAGGTGCGATGCATATGTAAACACATGACTTAATGCATTTAATGTGATACGATTTCCTAGTCATGACTTGCGTTTGTGTACAGTGAACACATAATAATATATCCTCCACCGATTTGATAAAGTGTTATGTTGTCTTATATAATTTCATTGTAATAATCAAAATCTTAATTCTTAAGGTCTTAAAATCTACATATGACATGAAAAACGATTATCTTGTCTCTTGTTATTCGTCAAAGTATTGTCGATCGTGCATGTGTCTATGAGTGTTCGACRTGGATGTTTGCGTTTCTTGTTCGATTTAAATGTAACAACTGTGGTGGACGGTGTCTGGCGCCAGTGGTGGTAAGCTTTCCACGTTAAAAAATATATGAGTTCAATGAAGCTCAACAATGATCCACCCAAAAATAGACCAGCGCAACTTCCAAACGACACTGCGAATAATAATAAAATCGAAAAACGAAACATTTTAATATCATTATTTTTTGCATTAGACAAATAATCTTATATTTATAGACATCATAAATAATAATTCATATGCACCCAACAAGTCAAGCCATCCGAGGACCAAGTCCGATCTGTAAAGTATGCACGTACTCTGTATGAAGTGTGCGTCAATAAGTATAGACGATGAGGAATTCCTATGATATAAAACAGCGATAATATTAATATTTATTTACCATAGATTATATTTTATTAWTATATATATTATAACGTTATAGGTTCTTTGAATTCTTTAAAGTGAAGTAGTTTGAAATAATTCACTTTTACTGTTACTCGGTTAACACATAATGTTTTAACTTTTTAATAGAATCATGATTCATGAGAACATTTTAAAAAGAGATTTGAGTTCGATTTTTATTAATATGCTTAACAAATCGAATAATTTGAGTTAAGAATTCATTAGTTTCTAAAATACTGACTTTCAATAATATGCGTTAAAGAATAAAAAGTATTGAATCATAGTTTTYGACACTTTCAAAAAGATTGTTGTCTTATTAAAAGAGGTCAAAACCGGTATTATGGAGGCATTCAAGAGAGTGGCGGATTGATTTATAGTATTTTTCATATAAATTTATAGGCAGCCGTTCTTCTTAACCGATAGTCGTTTGACCACCAAGACGAAACCGACTTACAGCACCGTGGAGATGGATGGTTCGGCGATGGTCAGTTCGGAAATGTACATTTGGTGGACACAATCAGGCATGCAATTGCATTTCATTCCAGGCATATCGTTTGTCAAGAACGCGTTATGTTCGGACGGTATAAGAATTTTGAAAAACTCTGAAAATATAGGATAAAAATAAAAGTGATATTTTCTATGTTATTATGATTAATCCTCTTACTATTTTTCTCGGACAGGCACAACAAATCTTCAACGTTGCACGGCCGCAACGAATCGTTTTCTGTGGTGGAAAAAAGTTCTAATCATACTTCTTATTCGTTTCGTTTAAAGTCAAATATTTATACGCCAAATATTGGTTTGGTATTTATTATTTTCACACAATATTTTTTTAACGACGGTACTTACGATGCATGAGGCCGAACATGAACTCCAAATAACAGCCACAGTGTTCTACCACGTGATTCATGTAACAAGCTGCCTTGCAATTTCTCCGCAAGTAGTATTTCGTGCCCATTCCGGTGGAACTTTCATCGGCGAAAAGACACCTTCGCTCTTTTGGATTCAATCTCCTGGTYCTTTCTGTGTTGTATATCCTATCTCCCCACACGTGAACATTGCCAATACTTCCTCCTGACACGACCATATCTGGTCCAAGCGGAGCACCTCTGGGTTCGCCGATCATTATCTAAAATAATATCATACGTGTTTGCCCATCATGGCGGGTCTCAGGTGTGGCTTTTTAGTTTTGAAATAAAGATGTCACATTTKTATGTCAACAAAACTCTTTCACCACCGTCCATTGAGTTTGAGCAGTCAATAAATGCAGTGATGCTAACATTTCAATGTTTATAAGAGATAGGTACAACATTTAAATTATTATAAAAAWWAAAATAAAATTTATAAATATCTTTCAATATTCAACACTTTCATATTTTGTAAAATGAATGGGTAGGTACTATTTATTTATTTATAAAAAKGATAAATTATATACTCTATATTTTGCTGTTCTGGCACCAACATAAAATTAATTCAGGTCAATATAACGGTTCAAGTAATATAATTCAGACATTAATAACGTGCTCAGAATTTAATTTCATGTATATTATATTACATATTTTGCTGTTTTAGCCATTCAACACTTTGTTATAATATTAGTCTATAATCCTATTAACCATATAGGTAATKATATGACGTCCCTACGCTTGAAATAATATAAATCATATAGAAATTATAGCGCTTAGAAGGTACTCATTCTCCAAATTGCCAAGATATCGACAAATGTCAAAAATATTTGTTTCATTACTATCTATTTAAATAACATATTTATTTATTTTCACTATCGGTTRGTGACTTATCGATTTAAAAATGTATAATACCATATAATATGGTTAATGGTTATATATTATAGCGAAAACAAATTAAAAAAATTACACTTGTGGTTGGTTTGGCGTCTATTCCAGGAGCGACTTGTTCCGGGTTCATCGTAGATACATACATGCTGTAACAGTTATGGTCTAAATAATTTAAGGCACACAAGACACAACATTAGCACCAAACGATTGCAAGTATATCTGAAAGGGGAAAGATGTAAAAAAAAAAGCGTATTGTTTTTACTACTACTTACCTATACAATCTATATTTTTCAAATATTTTCAAATATGTATACTGCCATACATTTAAATATTATTATTTTTACTAGATTTTATACCTGACTCCAGAACTYTGACCATTGTCACCCGTTCTCCTTGGTCGGAGGTCTCCAGACTCTGTTCGCCAAAACGAACCAATAAGACCGGAGTTCGCAACGAGTCTCCTGCGAWACATTTCGATATTGGATTTTGCAATGACACATAATATTTATAAATAATGTATCATAAATTATAATAGTAGTTATCATATCATATCACATTGATGACCAATACTTACGCTCTACTGTACTCGGAAAAATCGGAATTGAACGAATGGCACAGACCAAATTCGGTTCTTTGCAACTCGAATACGTCACAGCAGTTTACCTGTTTGAAGTTCCACCAGCAACCACCGTGGGAAAACACTTCGTCGCACGGCCTCATCACCTGTTCACATAATATTATTATTATACGTTGTATGATAAATTTTGTTCAAATAGTATTTAATAATCATAAGAGTACACGATACCTATCATGTTATACACAACTACTACGAGTATATTACATACAAGACCATGCTAATAGAACTTGATCTATCTATAAATATCAATAATATTATATAGATATTAGAAATATCATTGATTGAAATATTGAAAAACATTATATATTTTATCGTTCACGACAGATGGTTATCGAGATTTTTCTTTATTTACATAGATATTTTTTAGACATGTAAAAATATTATGTTATTATTATTCTACTTAATATGATTATCAAATTTGGTACTATTTTCTCGCAGATCATAGATAATTTGAAAATGTTTTCTTTAAACTTTAAACTTATTTTTTCAAATTAATCCCTTCATCCCAAAGACCTGCAGAACCTGAGTTTAACCATTTGAGTTATTATTGGAGTCATATTAATTAAATTATTGATGTAAACATACTGCTATACCGTCTAAAAAAACAAACCTTTACAAGAAGCTCGGTGAGGTTTAGCTTGACGAGTTTCGATAGTTCCGTTACGTTCTTCAGCTCGTCGAACTTGTCAAACTCGCCATACGATAACACGGAGAACGTTTTCAATAATTTCCTCACGGTGGGCAATAAACTTGGATCGATATCCGGCACGTCTCTATACGTAATTATATATCAGCGGCGTAGCCAGGATTTTTTTCGGGGGGGGGGGCTGATCAATTTTTTACACAGCGGTGCATTAAATACCTATTAGCACGGCCGAAGCTATAGAAAACTAACAAAATAAAGATGACAATTTAAAATTAGTAAAGTACAATATAATTTTTAAATTGTATTAACATTTCGGGGGGGGGGGGTGCAGCCCCCTCAGCCCTCCCCCTGGCTACGCCACTGTAATGGCCAACGGGTAATCGATAATCATTTTATTGTTAATAATAAAATAATTTTCATAGCATGTAATCGATACCGAAAAAATATTTTGTTCACTACCATTCATTGGATGTAATATAAACTAATTTGAAAAATTAAAATTTTTTTAGTGTCTCTGAAAAAAATTCTCGGAAATGTTCTTGCAAATCGTTTAGGTAATATNTATGATATGTTTTATTCAGTCATCTATAATAATATAATATTTATGCTAATCAATGAAAATATATTATCGTTTTTACCATTATAATTATTACTATTGAATAGATAATGGGTATTTCATAGAGAATATCTGGATTTCAAAATATCATAACATTCTAGGTTTTTGAATGTTTGGATCATAAAGTGATTTATTTGTTATACTCTGCTTTTCCACTTTGTCAACAACTCTTAGAGAACAGAGAGAAACAATCAAAAAGGTCTTCGTTTCGTTACAATTGTCACGTTTGCTAGGGTTCATTGGGATGGATTTAGTTAAAGTGAGTTTTTTTTATGTAAAATACATCACCCGGTAAATTATATTATACATTGCATTAGTCACTAGTGAGGATAAGAAATTAAATACCCAATTATTTTAGAAATCTATTACTAACCTTAATTTAAAATTAACTCTGAATATTTGATTTATATTTCATAAATGATAATAACAATTCATCAATAATTTGTTTTATTTTTATTTTAGCTATAAATTATATACTTAAAAATAATATGTTAATTAAATCATTAGTACTACCTGATCGTCTCGAAAGACACTTCACTACCTATTTTATTTTGAATAATTAATTAAGATGGTTGGAATAAATATTTAAATCCTATTATGTCATCTTATCTTTGTATATTATGTATCTATGCCATAATTGTATCAGTCACATATTTTCTCTAAACTATTCATCTATTACCGATTTGACAATTGATTAGTTAATTTATTTAATTTAATTTATTTTTTGACCCATAATTAATATTTGTGTCGACTAATATTATCTTAAGACTAATCTTCATGGTGATTAAAAGATTCTTGGCTTGATGCAATAAGAGTTTTCAGCTTTTTCGATTYACGACCTATTATCCGTCGACCCTTTTTATGGCACATACATACCTAAATAGTTACTACCCACTGATAAACGTATGACGCGTATGCRTTAGTTACTACAACAATAAATTAAAGTTCAAAAATAGTCTTTTCATGTGAAAATTTGTAGGTAAATACCATAACAAACCTATATCGCCCAATTAGAAATTTTATATTACCTTGGAGTTAACCGCGTGACCCGTTGCCAGTCCACTCTTGAACTGTCACATACSACCACCATCGGAAACGCTATGTCGGCGTAGCTAAAGAAAGTCGTCTCGACCACCGTATCAATCGCGTTCTTATTGTACGACTTCCACGATTCGACGATCGCATGAGTGGCAAACAGCACAGCGCATATTACAGTTACCGACCAGAACGCTCTGAAACAATACGACCGGGGCCGATTATCTAAAATATGTGTCCAACATGTACAGTGTACAAGRAAAATAATACAGCTTAGTTCCATGCTCGTTTAAAATATTTTATTTTTTTCAATAAGTAATTCATAGCACTTTAGACGAAAGCGTGAAAAATTTAAAAGTAAAAATAATCCTTTATAAGAGTTTTAAAAAAATTTTGTTTTAATTTAAATTATAGTGTATTCGTTTAAATTATTTGTTAACATAAATAATTAAGTTCCATTAAGTTCCTTCGACTAGTAAGTAGATGAAAAATAAAGTAGATGACCAAAATCTGATTCAGCCATCATAATTATA